CATAGGTGACTAAACAGTAACTAAACTATAAGATGGGATACACAGGAAGAAAAAGTGGTGGTTTGAAAGAAAAGTTTTGTAATAATCAAGGTGATTTGAATCTGATTGATGAGGATATCCTAGAAAATGAGTTCATGAGATACTTTGGGACAATTTTGTAGAGCAGCATGTTCTCGAGCCAACTAGGAAGCAGGGTATTCTAGATCTGGTACTATGAAATGAGATACAATTAATTTATGACCCCACAGTGACACAGGAACTTTTAGATAGCAATGACCACAGTATGACTGAATTTCACAGTGTCTTGGATCACAGAGTGCATCCAAGCAGGTCTTTTCAGATTCGGTTAAATGTAGTAAAGACAAGGCTCGACAGCAGCAATTTGCTTAAATATGAACTTTTATTGAGTAATAGTAAAAGACAAAAAAAAGGAACGTTTATTAAGTAAATTTAAAGAATGAAAAAGAGAGGAAAGAAACAATAATCCTCACGCTCTTCTGCACGTCAGGGACCCCTCGACTGGCGGTTGGCCAGGAGGCTGAGTTTGTTCCTGGCACTGTACATGATTCCGATCCGAGGCGAAATCCAATGACTTGGAATGAAACTCTCTCTCTTATACAGTGTAACAAACAGCCAGGCACAGAAAGCAGCAGGTACAATATACAGAAAGGCTGCCCAGAACAGAAAACACAGCGACAGAAAACAACAAGCTGCAGGTACCATCTTTGGCCCGAAAAGAAATGTCCACAGGACTCATTCAAGGTCACACAGCTTGTCGAATATCATCTTATTTTCCCATCCTGTACAATCTATTTTCCCATGCAGCTGTTGAATACCATCATTACCTTTTAGTCCTTTGGCCTATCCTGTACACACAGTCAGTATGCGAGTGAGAAGAGTGAGTCTGTGACTAGTTCCTTTTTAACACTCAGGTCTTGATCTAATTCACTTTTGAAAGAAAGCTAAGCTTGAATCTAGAAGGAAGTTGCTAGAAAAGCTCAGCAGGTCTGGCAGCATCTGTGAGGGAAACAAAATAACTGAGGAAGTGTCACCGGACCCGAAACGTTAACTCTGATTTTTTTCTTCACAGATGCTGCCAGACCTGCTGAGCTTTTCCAGCAACTTCTGTTTTTGTTCCTGATTTACAGCATCTGCAGTTCTTTTGGTTTTTATTTAAGCTTGAATCTACATTCAGATCCTCTCAGCAAGTACATTCCAGAGTGAAACCACGATCACAACATGAAATTGCCTTTTCTTACGTCAACATTGAGTCCATTATAAGATTCTTTAAATCAGTCTGCTCTGCTTCTCAACCCTTCCACCCAGAGAGCGCTGGTGTTTGTGTCACTGCACAGGGGCAGTTTGTAGACAAGACTACTGATACAATGCTCACTGGCCACATCACATCCATTTCCTCTTGTGAGCCTCATATACTCTTCACTTCCTCTCTTGTTCAGACGCACTGTGAAGACTGAACTCAAATACAACAGAACTGTAAAAGGAGCTATCTTTAGTGATCCTGGAGTAACCTGCCAGTGCAGGGATCCTGTTCTAGAGTGTGAGTAATCCTATACTACATGTTCTACTTTGTTGACTTTACATTTAAAAGTATTGAAAGGGTTGGGAAAAGACATAGGAATGATAATTCTGTTGGAAATCAGGAATACAATTCCTTAGCATTGTCAAACTGTTGGAGACCTTTGACACAGCTTGCTGGAAAGCAAAGCCTTGCATCTTCCACAACCTCACGACACTGTTTACAGCCAGTGAAGTGCTTTGAAAACTGAATCACAGTTGCACATGTGACAGCACTATTCTACAAAAAAAATGCAATCAAATTCATTTGCTCACAGTGATGTTGACCCAGTGATGCAGTATTTAAAAAATTAATTTATGGGGTGTGGGTATTGCTGGGATGCCATTATTTATTGTCCGTCCCTAATTGCTTAGAGGCAATTATAAGTCTGAAGTCACATGGGGGTGAGGCAAATTGAGGATGGAGACTTCCTTTCGTAAAGAGCATGAGTTAACCACACATGTTTTTGTGGCGATTGGTTATGGGGTCACAGTTAGACCCGTTTCATTTTCTCGTGTTCAGTTCCTGATTTTTAAATCTAAAGTTCATCAAGTAGAATTTAATCCTACCTCTCAAACCTATTAGTTCTGGGTTGCTATCACAGTAACGTTGCCACTATACCACGGCCGCCCCATGTTAACTGACATGTTACGTAGGGGATTTGGAATCATAGAATCGCTGCAGTGTGGAAGCAGGCCATTCAGCCCACCAAGTCTGCACCATGCTTCCAAACAGCATCCAACCCAGACCCATCCCCCTATCCTTTCCATTAACCTTGTTTTTCCCATGGCTAATCCATATAACCTACACATTCCTGGACACTATGAGCAATCTAGCAGAGCCAATCCACCTAACCTGCACATCTTTGGAATGTGGGAGGAAACTAGAGCACCAGTGGAAACTCATGCAGACACGAGGAAAATGTGCAAACTCCACACAGACAGGTACCAAAAGTTGGAATTGAACCGGGTTCCAGGCTCTGTGAGGCAGCAGTACCATCATGGAGTGATTTAGAGGAATCAGAGAAATTCGAAAATGATTTCAAACTCTCAGAATTTTGGATTTGCTATCATGCTCATGAAGGCCATTCACCCCAATCTGAGCATAGTAGCAGAACTCGGGGTTTATAGTAGCAGGAATGACAACATTCTTGAGCTCTTCATGCTCGTGAGAGAAAGGCCAAAGGTTGGTTGAACAGAGATCTGAAAGTTGACAAAACGTTTCAATAAAATAAACATAGAGAGTATGTTTCCACTTGGGGTAGCGAAACTAGACCTAGAACCCATAAGCATACAATGATCACTAATAAATCCAACAAGGAACTAAAGTGAAATATATTTACAAACAGAGTCATTAGACTGTAGAAGTCAGTTTCACAAGAAATAGTTAAGATCAGTAATGGGGAAATTAGATAAACAGATGAAAGAGAAAGGAAGAGAAGGAAATGGTGTCAAGGTGAAATAAAAAGAAAGGGTAGGTGGTGGCTTATGTGAAACATAAACATCCACAAGGAGTTGTAGGGCTGAACGGTCTGAATCTATTATGTAAATACTTTGTAACTTCTTACCAAAATGCTGGTAATCTATTGACATATTGTGTCAACCTGACATCAATATTGATACCCTCCTGAAGACCATGTGTCTTAACCCCTGATTTCATCCCCACTAGCTAATCACTGATATTGTCTCTCTAATGATACACAAACTTGTCATTTCGAATGATCGTAAGCTGAACTTCGACAGCCACATGCTACACACTATGAAAATGGTCCATTTCCAAATCCACACTTTGACTTATTCCAGGATAATCTCATGTGCACACGCACAGACACCCTTGTTAATCTTTGCCTCCAGGTTTAGCCTCAATGCCCTTTGCTCTTGCAATCCTAAACTCCACGCCATATAAACTCCAGAATCAATTCAAACACCTATCGCCCTATTCTAATCCACATCAGGTGTTCTCTTCCCATCAGCCCTGTCGCTGTCATGCCCTGTAATTGTGTTTCTGTCAAAATATTAAATTCAAAAGCCTCTTTGTCATCAACAAATCTCGATAAACCCCACCCTACTCTCCATCTGTAATCCACCTCCAGTCCCATACATTATCACACACACTGCACTAATCCTGATTCATTCACTTTGGCATCTCCTTGCTCTCCTGACATGGCATTTGACTGTTTAAAACGAAACCCTCTGGAACTCCTTCCCTACTTGTTTCCAGACTTTCTAAAACCCCATGTCATCGACCATACTTTCAGTCACTTCCCCATGTTCACTTCCTCCTCTGGCTACTTTACATCAATTGTTTTGCCTCTGCAAATTGTGTTACATTGTTCACTGCATTAAAGCCTTGTTACTTGTAACCACAGAGGCCAATCAATTTAGCTAAAGACACAGCGTGCGTATAGACCAGATTCATGCCAACGCCGCAGAGTTGGATCCGTGACTCAGCTGAAGTATACTCAGGGTCTGCTTTCTTACTGTATCCATTGTAGAAATTCATGGCAGTTAAGTGACTCACTGCCTTTGGGGTGAAAATTAATGAATATTTGTGATGTGGGACTGTTGTTGTGTATTGGTGGACAATGGCTATTAGAGGTACTTTTTGACTGTTCTTAAGACCATAGATATAGGCAGAAGTCACACAATGCCAGGTTGTAGTCCAACAGGTTTATTTGAAATCATAAGCTTTCGGAGCGCTGCTCCTTAGTCAACCTCCGATGTCGGGCAATTAGTGCCATTTTGCCTGCTATGTAGATGAACCCCAATTCAATATTCCATCACTCATGCGCCTTAACCTTTTAAATCTCCTTGTGGTGTTGATGCAACCAACATTTCCTGCCAGACTTCCTCTGATGTGGATGCAAAACGAAATCACTTTGTACTCTCCAGGTTAGATCATGGCCTATGGATATGACAGCAATGTCTAATGTTCAGTATCTCTGCCACCTTATCACTGTTCCTTCCTTTTTTTCACAATTTCCTCATTGCTTATCCTTCTTTATTTGCTCAGTCATAATTATTTATTTGCCTCAATCAATAGAGCTAAATTAACACATTTCAGCCTTTCTGTCATATCACCTTCTGCTTGTTAAAATGCTAATCTCCATTGACTAGTAATAAATTGACTAGCTGTATATCAGTAATAACACACGCTCACTGATTGGATAGTAGCCACAGTCATTTACTTTGATAAATACTGTTTAAAATTATCCACAAAGGCAAATATCATCCTGTGCGACACTTTCAAATCAGTCACGTCATGTGAAAAGTGCTGGCTCTCTGTTCAGAAAAGCTAAGAACTGCAAATGCCGGAGGACCTTCAAAGAGAGCAGAGGCTGCTACTGGAACTTGGCAGTTTGGTTGCATGTGTGAAGAGAGAAATAGAATCTTATAGGGACCTGAACAGTATGGACTACAGTGAGAAGAGTGGCAGAATGGTGTGAGAAGTTCAGTTGTGCCTATCTTAACGTTGGGAACACTTGCTGCATCTTTGAACAAGATTCTGGGTGTCGAGGCGATATTCTCAGTGGTGAGTTGCCCATTGAGGGATTATTGCTCGTTAACAACCTTATTAACTGCAGGTCCCACGTCATTAATTTATAGCTTTCTATCATACAATCTGCCAGCAGAAATAAGGATGTTGAGAATTCTTGACGTGAGAGTCACCGCTTTCCAAAGGGCCTCCACGTTGGGCACAAAGTACTGACATCTCAGGAGATGCTCCATGGGCACTTGCCACATGCATCCTGTGTCCATGGAGATTGGTATCCGACATGTGCTAGTCTCTGAACTCTCTTGGTACACCTCCGATCCACTTGCTGTACAGGGTCTGTTCTTCAATGCTGCATCTGAGACCGTAACAGCAATTATCATTGTAAACTGGCAACAAGGACACTTTGCACCTGGGGGCAAAAGAATGGTTGGAAAGACATTGAAAGACAATATAAAACAGCATGCATAAATCTAAAAGGGGTGTAGAAACAGAGGGTCCTGGGTGTATATTTGCACAGGTCATTGAAGGTGGCAGGACAAGTGGAGAGAGTAGCTACAGTTACATGGCATACAGTGTTCTCAGCTTTATTAATGACTCCAAGAGCAAGGAGGTGATGTTGACTTTGTACAAGACGCTTGTTAGACCTCAGCTGGAGTATTGTGTACAGTTATAGGTGCCAAATTATAAGACGTTGTGAATGCATTGGTGAGAGGGCAGAAACAGTTTACAAGAATGTTTCTAGGTATGAGAAAACTCAGCAATTGGGGGTAGTTTGAAGAAGTTAATACTGTTCTCCTTAGAAAGAAGAAGGCTGAGAGGGGATTCAATAGAGGTTTTCAAAATCATGGCTGGATAAAGTAGAGAGAAGCTGTTCCCACTTGGAAAAAGGAAAAGCAACAAAAGGGCATTGATTTAAACGGATGTGCAAACAAAGCAATGATAATGTGAAAACAATAGTGAGTAGTTAGGGAATCACTGCCTGGAAATGTGGTGGAGGCGTGTTTAATTGAAGCACTCAAGAGAGTATTGAATGATTACTTGGATAGAAATGGCAAGCAGGGATATGGGGGAAAGGCAGGGGATTAGCACAAGGTAATAGAATCAGTGCAAGCACAATGGGCTGAATGGCCTCCTTCTACACCATAACAATTCTCTGATTCTGTCATTCTGTGACACGTGCTCAGCTCATGGAATGGACCAGGCAGCATCTCCAGGCTGCTGACTTAGTTTCTAAACATTGTAGGCCAACCCCAGTGCTCTGGTCAAGGATTGCCTTGATTTTAGACATAACCCCTCAGTCGGGGGCACCAAGCTCGTGGTACTGCTGCATCATGGTTCCCAGCCATCCTCAGTCAAGTCAAGGCAGATAGCCTTCAGACAGGATGTCCAGCACGCTAAGTCGAGAGCAGTATGTGATAATTATCTGTGGACTTGGACACAGTCAGTCAGTTGGGGCAGTCACAGTCAGGTGTGAGAGGTCAAATGTTGTCATTAGGCTAGCTTTTCGTTCCAGAGTTCTGTTGAATTCAAATCCCACCATCTGCCATGGTGGGATTCGAACCCACCCACCCTGAACATTAGCCTGGGGTTTGTGGATTAGTAGCCCAGTGACATAGCATGAGGCCACCACCTCCCACTTTGAATCCAATCTGATTCTTTTTCAGAACCAAAGGTGGCTGGAAAGTGGTTAGTTTAATGTTGTAGGAAAAGAAAGGGGAGGGGGAGCAACTGGAACAGATGGTATAGTCTGTGCTTATCTCCTTTCTTCATGGTATCTACGCTGCTTGTCTGCTGTTACTGTGCTCAAGGAAGTCTGCTGTGATGTACTAAACATTAATCTCCAGCCTTTTTGCAAAGACACATGGCATGGAAAATTTCCCAGTCATTGAAAACCTAATACATTATCTTGTAACCTGGCAGCAGATTCAGGGAAATTCCACTCTCACTAGGATTCCTGATTTTTAAAAAATCTTCCATTTCATCGTCTGTGTCTACAGTCAAGAAGAGAGTTAAGTGTTGGAAATATGTAGTATACTTTTAGCCTTATGTATTTCTGGAAAAAGGACAAAACACAAACCAATAATTGTATCAAGTTTTGAAATTTACACAGCCTTTACTATAGAAGTTGAATTTCATGAACCCATCCCCACCTCCCCCAGCAAACGTTTTTGGCAGGGGAGCATGTAAACTATTTTTAGTGGCTAGCCCCGTGCCCTTTCCACATATTCCCCCAGGCAGCCTCCATGACATAGAGGGCAGATTAGGCTCCCACTCTCCCACCAAACCTACAGCCTATTGAGGATCTTAGGTGGGCCCTCAATCTGCCTTTACTGGTGTAAAATGCTACATAGTGTAAGACGTATCAGGATGAAAAGGCAACTTTTTCATCCATGTTGGTGATAAGGTGGGAATGAAAGGTGGTACATTCTTTAGAGAGTGTACTGTATGCATCAGGGACAACCCTAACTAACTCTGTACCCCTCCTTCTCGGTGGCCTCCCAACTGGCCTCCAGAACCTTCATGCAAACCCCTTCAACTCCTTCCCTGAAGTGCTCGATCCCTCCCCACTACAAATTGGGATATACGTCAATCCAGTCACTGTCATCTCACTCCCAGGGCCTTCTTCAAGTCTCAGCAGCATGGCCGGTGCTGATGGCAAGTCAAAAGCTGCTACACAATCAGATTGTCTGAAAGCCTTCAAGGAAAAGACTCCCTTCCATGATGAGGCAGAAGTCTGAACCTCAACTGGTGACCATCATCTGCAACATGTTAGCCCTGGGGGAAGCCTTATTTAATGCTGGTCAGTTTTTGTATGAGGTGTGGACAAGGAACGTGTACCTCACCCCCCAACCCCTGTGCAATCCAGGCTATTATTTCAGGATGGAGCAGTTTTAGAGATGATACAACCTTACCCAATCCTCAAGTACCGTAACTTGCATGTCAGATTGACAAGAAACATTTCAGCATATATAGATGCAAGAAGTGCGCTTTCAAAAGATACACATAAAGTCAAGAAAACTTGACTTTGACCTCAAATATGGTTGTAATGCACACTTTCTGTTGGCTTCAACTATGTATTGACTCACACACTGACTCCAAACATTAGATATATAGAAAAGTTTATGCAAGTACATGGCTTTTTTTTCCGCTGAATAAGGATGTAACAGTCTCCGAATATTTCATTCTTGTCAGCCTGTACAAATTGACAAAGAAAGGTCAAGATCTTTATAGGTCTGTAGTCATGAATACTGTCCTCGATAGCTCATTATGGAATAACTAGTGTTATTGAGTGCAAGACCTTCAGAGATGGAGTCAATCCTTTAAAACACCAGATGTTCACTCTTGTCTTGTTAAACAAATAAGTAACCACCTTGGATCTATTATTTTGTTTACTAGCTCAAGAGCTCTCAAAGTTTTTCAACATTCACATCGTTATCAGACACTAAGCACGTACTCTGCACCTCAATGGTAAACAAGCATCAGATTCAGCTTCATTTTAAACTGATGCATTGCAGCATTAAAAATCAGAGCATAAGCCAACTATGATGCCCATCAGGCCTGGTCCATCATTCAATACAGTCATGAATGGCTGAAAGGTCACATTAGTGCACGGAACAGTCAGAATCTTGAGTAACTGCTCCTCCAATCACAGGCTGTAGCTCTCATGTAACTCTCTCACTTCTCCCATCTTTTGCACTGATGTGCTGGGCTTCCCAGTCACTGGGGATAGAGATAGTTGTGGAGCCCCGTCTTCCAAAAAGTTGTTTAATTATCCCCTGTCATCTATGACTAGATGTTACAGGACCATGGACATTAGATCTGACCCATAGGTGTGGGATCAATTAGCCCTGCCCATTTCTTTTTCACCCAATTTCTTGCCCTCTTGATTGACATTTCCCTGTGTATTTTGAACATGAGGGTTGATGAGCCATCTAGGCCTCTTCCTAAAACACTCAGTATTACCAATAACAGGGAACAAGTGGTGGTATAGTGGTATAGTGGTATTACCATTAGAAAATTAATCCAGAGACCCACATAATGTTCCTGGGTTCAAATCCTGCCACAGCATATGATGGAGTTTGCATTCAATTTTAAAAAATAAAAATCTGGAATTAAGGGTTTAATGATGACCATGAATACATTGTCAATTGTCAAGGAAAAATGGTTCATTAATGTCCTTTATGGAAGGGAACAGCTATCTTTACCTGTTCTGGACTAAATGTGACTCCAGAACCCCAGCAATGTGATTGAGTCTTTACTGCGCTCCGGGAAATTAGGGATGGGCAATAAATGCTAGCCTGGCCAATGGCGCCCTCATTTCATAAATGAATAAATAAAAGTCTTCAGCCAACTTAATTCACTGCATGTGATATCAAGAAATGGTTGAAGACACTATAAAGGCTGTGAGCCCTCACAATATTGCAGCATTCGTCATGATAATTGTGCTCCCGAACTAGCTGTGCCTCTTGACAAGCTGTTTCACCATTTCCACCCTGTTGGGTATGCCAATGTTGTGACTAATAATGTACCAAACAATGTGGCAAAACTGGCAAGTTATGTCAGTGCTATTGACAATAAAAGACAAAGTCAACTGGCCAAAAATCAGTGTACTTTTAATCATCATCAAAATAAAGCAAGGGCTGCAGACATTGCTATCAAGTTGTACTTGCTCAGTAATAACTTACTCAGTTTGGATTCCACTGGGGCACTTCTTTTTGTTTCTTTGTTCTTTTGTGAGATAATGATCATTATTTTCAAGGTCAGAATTTGTTACACATCCCTAATTGCCCTTGAAGTGAATGGCTTGCTGGCCACTTCAGAGGCAACCATATTATATGTGAGTCTCCAAACATATGGAGACAAACCCCTCAAGTAAGGACAGCTGATTCCCTTCTCTAACAGACACTGGTGAATCAGATGGGTCTTTATGTAAATCAAAGATAGCTCACAGTCACTATCTGAAATCCAGATTGATTGATTCGTGGTTATCAGCAGATATTTCTATTTATATATTGCTCATGTTTGAGATGACACCATGGGACTATATGCAGACCAGAAGTGGATGTTGAGGACACCTCAGCCAGCTCCTTCCAATTGTACACCAGTGTAATGACACATCTGCTGGGTCTGTCCTGATCGGGATACAGGACATACCGAGGGACAGTGAAGGTGGTCTCAGGAACATTGTCCATAAGGTATGATCCGATGCATATGACTATGTCAGGCAGCTTCTTGATTTGCGTATGGGACAGTTCTCTCAATTTTGGCACAAGAACACAGAGGTTAGTAAGGAGATCTTTCCTGGGTCTACAGGAATGTGTGGCTTTATTCATTTTTGACATTGCTCCAGCGGTTTGATACAACAGAATAACTTTCTGGGTCATTTCAGAGTCTTTCACATTGTTGTGGGCTTGGTCATATATAGGCCAGGACGGCAGATTTCAAACCCCAGGATGGGCTTTTATGATGAAAAAAAAGCACCATTGCTGTGATTTCATTCTCAATTCCAGATTCATTAACTGAATTTATTTTCCATGGTAGGATTTGAACCCCTGCCCTGATTGTATTAGCTTGGGGTGCCGAATTGTGCTCATCCAGGTACATAACTACACTGCCACCAACTTTCTTTATCAGTGGGCTTACGTCAGGTTTCTGACATTTCAGCAGTTTTTTCCTTACGTACCTACCCAATACTGACTAAATACTACACTAACCATAATTCACACCCACTTACATCTCCCACCCACTTCCCCATCCATGCAGGCTACAGATTCAGTTCCACCTGCCATTTACCCTTCACTCTTCCAGCTGCCGTTGTATCATCAGCAAACTTAGTTGCATTATACATATCACCTGATCACAGTCATTGATTTTATACTGCAGATAGCTGAACCCCAAGCACTGATCCTTCCTACACACCACTAGTTGAAGCCCACTATGTAGAGTTTGCATACTCACCCCATGTCTGCGTGGATTTCCGTTGGCTGCTCCAGTTCCTCCCACTGTCCAAAGATCTGCAGGCTTGATAAATTGGCCATGCTAAATTGTCCGGTAGTGTCCAGGGATGTGCAAGCTAAGTGGATCAACCATGGAAAATGGGCAGTCATAGGGATAAGGTAGGGAATTGTGTCTGGGTAACTTGGTCTTCGGAGGGTTAGTGCAGGCTCACTGGGTCAAATGGCCTCTTTACATACTGTAGGGGTTGATGATTCTATCTCAGAAAACAGCCATTTATTTCTACCCTGATTGCTGTACATTAGTCAATCCTTGATTCTTACAATGATGCTACTCCTAATAAACTGCCTTTCCATGGATTGCCACCAAGCTATGGTGGAGGGGGTCGAGTGTTCCATTGATCCTGAGAATGATGCCATCAGGAGTTCTCAACCCCAGACAGGCCCACCATAATGGTAAGGTCAGAGGGAAGGAACCACACAAAGAGCAATCTGAAACAAGTCCTCGATGATGATTGAGGTGGAAAATGCCCATTGATATCAATGGCTGTGATAGTGGATGAAGGCTGCATCAATAGGGGGATGCCCAGTGGTTGAGGTTTCTTTGCCATTGGAACTGGAATCTACCTTCTGTCAAGGACCTTGTGCCCGCTGCTGTGCAACAACATTCCCATGTTAAAAGATGTCCCATACAAGGCACCTATTCAGTCCCCTAACACAAAACACAAGCCCTTCAGGGATCGTCAAGAGTTGACAGGGTCAATATTGTGATCTCTGTCAATCTCTAGCTTCAGACTGGCGTGTAAGTGGTAGAGTTTGAATCAGTTGTTTCACTCTCAAAATAGGCCAAGGAGAGCTTTCTTCATGACTGAGCAGCTTGCTTCAGGATCCACTCTGTTTAACTTCCCACCATTCCACGCTAACCCCATAGGGAAGGGGTCAGAAAAGGTATCTAAAAAATAGCTTTTACCATCATCAAACAGTCTGGAAAATCACATGTAGATGGTTCATCCACCTATGGTCTGAAAACCAAAGTAAGACTCAATCTCAGAACCTGTCACATGTGAATTTTTCGCAGCTAACAAGCAAAACAAACATCCAAATGAAGAACTGCCCTATTGCCCGTGAACTCAGGCACTTCAACGTTGATATTGTTGCCCTGCAGGAGATGCAAAGACCAGCCGAATGACAACAGAGGGAAGAAAGTGGTGACAACAAGAGGATCAACCCAGGATCCATGAATTTGGTTTGTCATCAAGAACTAATTTGTCAACCAACTCTTGGAGCTCCCTGTTGATATCAACAATTGTCTCATGACCCTATGTCTATAACTTGCCACAAGACAGAAACTAATAGTCATGAGTGCCTATGTCCCAACCCTTGATGCCATTGATGAGTCTAAAGGAGGCTTTTACTCCATCCTGGATGCCATACTCATCAACATCCCTAAAGATAATCCTCCTGGGGGACTTCAATGCCAGGGTTGGAAAGGGCTTCAAATTCTGTCAAGGAACCAATGAAAAAATTGCAGGTGTCAGGTATTGCAATGCCAATGGGATTCTCTTGCTCACCAAATGCGCAGAACACCAGCTGGTCATCACTAACACACTGTTCTGCCAAAAAGACAAGGTTAAGGCTTCTTGGAGGCATCCTCAATCAAGGCACCATTGATCAATCATTGTTTGATTCCAAGACCAAAAGGATGATGTCCTCACTACCAAAGTGATGACCAGTGTAGATACTACTGGGCAGACCACTGCTCATCCAATCAATGCCGCTAGAAGCAGCTGAAGATGAAGAAGCTATTTGAAAAAATGTTTAATGTTGACCTGCTTCAAGAGCCAAACAGACTAGCAAACCTCCAACAATGTCTTCATCTAAACCTCCAAAGAATTCATGTTGATGGAGTAAAGGAAATCTGGAAAGAACTAAAGATAGCCAACATCTTATGCTGTGAAGAAACCATCAGCTACAGGAAACGTTTGTTCAATGAGAATGACCACATCATCCAAGATGCCATTGAGAAGATGAGGAAAGCTCTCTGTGCCTGGCAAAATAATATCACTAGTGAGACAAAGTGGAGAATTCATCAAACCGCGAAGGAGGAGTGTCGTTGAAGACCATGACATGTGTACTGATACCAGATTGTTGTGTATAAGGCAGTCATAAGGCCGACTCTTCTACTTGAATCTAAAATGTGGGCTTTGTATGGACGCCATCATGGCCCTAGAGAAATACCATCTGTTTGAGACAGATTCTTAGCATCAGCTGGGAAGATAGGAACACTAACATCATCCTTGAAGCAGCCAATAGTGCCAACAACCAGGCCATGATTATTTGAAATGAACTCCGCTGGGCTGTCAACATGCTTAAGATGTCTGAGTTCCAACTGCCAAAGGAAATCTTCTTCACCCAGCTCAAAGGAGGCACTCAAACAAAAGGGCCACCAAAGGAATTCTTCATTGACTGCCTGAAGACTTACCTCAAAAAATGCAACATAGACGTCAACACATGGGAGACCAGCGCTCAGTAGAAACTGATTTGAAGGAGCTTCCTGTACGAAAGGACATAATTCTTTGAGAACACCCATTGGTAAGAGGAAGTATGGATAAGAAACCTGAGGAAAAAATGCCAGCAATCCCAAACTATGGACCAATTCCATTTCCCAGAAACAGCTACAAATGTGTGGACAGGGATGTGACTCAAGGATTGGGATCTTCAGCCACACAAGGACCTTCAGAACCTGTGACTAATTGCACGGAATTTCCTAGGTAGACTATCAAATTTGTTAGTGAGTGATTGCCGATGATTACTCCCAATGCCATGAGATTTATTTTGTGTAAGGAAATCTTTTCTTTCTCAGAGGATTGGTGTATCGTAAAGCTGGCATGGACTTTATGGGCCAAATGGCCTCCTTCTGTTCTATAAGCTCCGAGTGTTCCATGACTGTAAGTTGGTTAAGCTGATTGTGGGAATGGAACTTTTCTCAGTTGTCCTCCTCCCCATCACATGAATCTGTCAACTGAATAATGACAAAGAAATTGTATATTGATGACATTGAAATGACAAACATAGTTTAACATAATTTTATGTGTAATATTACAACTATTTTTCTAAAACTATAAAAGTGGCCTTGTTATTAAGAGGAGGCAATTGTCTAGTAGTATTATTGCTAGACTATTAATCCAGAGACCCAGGTAATGTTCTGAGGACATGGGTTCAAATCTCACCATGGCCGATGGTAGAATTTGAATTCAACAAAATTTTGGAATTAAGAGTCTAATGATGACCAGGAATCCATTGTCAATTGTCAGAAAAAAAAACTCATTGGTTCACTAATGTCCTTTAGGGAGGGAAACGTACCATCCTTACCTGGCCTGGCCTACATATGACTCTTATCTGCACCCTGGGCAATTAGGGATGGGCAATAAATGTTGGCCTAGCCAGCAACACCCTCATCATGTGAATGAAAAAAAAAATTACATACAAAATTACTAACTCTTTTGCTGCGCCCATATTGTGTTACCTGTGTTTGTTTTCCAATTTCTAGGAAATGAATAAGACATGCTTGGACAATAATCTTCAGCTGGAGAAGTATTACCTTCCAACATTGTATGCAATAGAGTTCCTTTTAGGACTGGTTGGAAACCTTTCTGTAATATGGGGCTACATATTCTGTCTGAAGGAATGGAAGTGCAGCAACATCTACCTTTTCAATCTTTCCATCTCGGACCTGGCTTTCATTTGTACCCTTCCCATGCTCGTCATCTACTATGCCAAAGGCAACAAGTGGGTTTTTGGTCAGGTCACGTGTACATTAAATAGATACATTCTTCACGCGAACATGTACACAAGCATCTTGTTTCTCACTTGCATCAGCATCGATCGTTACCTACTGGTGGTAAGCCCAGTGAAGCTTCACTGGTTTCAGAAAAAGTTCAATGCCGTTATAATCTGCCTCAGCATTTGGGTTTTTGTAACACTGGAGTTGGTGCCTATATTCATTTTTATCGATGGTCAGATAATCAACAGCACAGATGATGAGTCCTTCTTCCAGTGTTTGGATTATGCCAGCTCGGGAAATGCCTCCCAGAGTTTGATTTACAGCTTATGCCTCACAGTTTCTGGTTTTCTCTTACCTCTCTGCATCATGTTTTTCTTCTATTTCCAAACTGCACGCTGCCTTAAGAAAATAATGCAACAGCGCACCAAGGTTCACGTGGAAAAGCCGCTTACCTTGGTCGTGTTGGCCATTGTCATTTTCTTGGTATTCTTCACTCCTTATCACATAATGCGCAACATTCGCATTGCTTCCCGAGTGGAGAACAGCACCATGTCAGAGTGCAGGAAATTGGCTGTAAAGACTCTGTACGCCATCTCAAGGCCCATAGCTTTCCTCAACTCCATTACGAACCCTATTTTCTACTTCATGTTGGGGGACAAGTTCAGAGAGCAGTTCTTCAACAAACTGAAGAGCATCTTCTTGGGAAAGCCTGAGGTATCCCGTCAGAAAGAGGACAGTTCCAACAGGTCGACTGGTTTAAACAAATGCTGAGGCTCAACAATTCTGTAAATTAATCAAATAATTCATGAACCTCTCCATAATTCACTTCATGTTTGGGAGTAGCGTTTTGATGTATCAACATTTCTGTTACTATTATCAGGGTGGCGGAAGGCAAATTAGATGGACTTTTGATTGAAATTAGATTTTTTTCTTTCTATATTAATTCCTATACAGCTATTCATTAACATTTAAAAAAAAATTGCCAAGTTTTAAACTGTAACTGGTAAGCCTATTTCAATAAGATTATAGTATCTACTGTATTGCTGTATTATGTTGTATTATAATTTGTGTAGTTAAATGCTTCCTGTGCTTCCTTGGATGATGACTGCGTACATTGTGACATTTCTTCCTCTCCACGTGAAGGACACTGTTTTAGCTTTGGAAAAATGTTAGGAACATTGAAAGCCAGAAATGCAGCCTTGGACATTAGGATTGTCGACACAACTTGACTACTTGCTCAAGTGCAAGAGCTATGGGCAAAGAGATCTCATCAGTCTCATCAACACATGGCCCACCACCATTGTGTACCCCTTAAAACTTTGCCCGAGTTGCGGAAATGCTCAGTGATTTGCAATGCCATGATCAACTCATTGAGAAAGTGGAACTCATGTTTAAATGGAATAATTTTGCAATGATTTGCAAGTAGAAGAAGACTGCTTCATCGGCTTGACACATGGAGGACTGCCTTCCTAAGCATAATGTAATTACTGTCACAAACAATAAAAACTGATGAAGAGTCATCTAGATTTGAAATGTTAGCTTTCTGTCTCTCCACTGATGATCTGCTGTGATTTCCAGCATCTTTTGTTCTCAATAAAAACACCAGGTCATTTTAAGAAATGCACAGTCCTGCTTCTTATTGCAATTTGGCCTCGGTATTTTTTCCAACTTTCTCTCATTCCTGTGCCAGACTCCCTTAAATCTTAAAATGACTCAATTAAACTGGTATTGAACAACCATAGTTTCATTGCACTCCAGAAAGGTCACACTAGACAGGTTCACATTCTACATGGCCAAAGGTCATCAAGATTCAGGGGGCAATCCTATGCCATAATTTTAGCCTCAAACTTACAGCCTGAAGCATACAATGGCACAGACTATGCACAATGTTATCCTTCCATTTCTACTGAATTTGGGCAGATTGAGTGATACTGTCATACTCCCTACAGCAACACATCAAGCCCCCAACCCCCACCCAACCATTTTACAAAAATACACAATAAAGTAGAGTCTCTTCCAGGAATTGACTCAATCAAATTATAATCAGGATTTATGTTGCTTTTAAATCGATAGTTTTGTGAAGGTACTGAGCATAAAACAAGAGTATTGTAGTGAAGGTGATTACACATTTGGAATTTCAAAATGGGTTTGCATGTTGCTAAAAAAATTCTGGGATAAGGAAGCAGTTTGGATTATACGAAATTTTTGACTAAAGTTAAACTGAGAGAGGCAGTAGGTAAATTGAATGTAAAAATGAAGACAGAATTGCAAAGGGATGATGTGATTAAAGAATTTTGAATTATAAAAAGGGAAAGCTGAACTTGACGTGTCTTCACAAGAATTAGTTCAGGAGTGAGAGGAAAAGCAAAAGGTTATTAGACCACTGAATGGACCTCTCAAAATTTTAATTTAATGTTGATCTCGCTCTTTGTGCACCTTCTCTGCAGCCGTAACATTGTATTCCTCACTCTGTTCTATTGCCCTAATGCACTTTTTATGATCTGCCTGTGTTGCATACAAAACAAAACTTTTCACTGTATCTAGGTACATGTGACAGTAATAAATCAAATCAAATCAAATCAACAAATCATTAGTAAGTTTGCAGATGACACCAAAATTGGTGGTGTAATGGATAGCAAAGAAGGTTACCTCAGAGTAGAACGGGACCTTGATCAGATGGGCCAATGGATCAAGGAGTAGCAAATGAAGTTTAATTTAGATAAATGTGAGGTGCTGCATTTTGATAAGGCAAATTAGGGCAGGGCATACGCACTTAATGGTAAGGTCCTGGGGAGTGTTGCTGAACAAACAGACCTTAGAGTGCAGGTTCATAATTCCTTGAAAGTAGAGTTAAAGTAGACAGGATAGTGAAGAGGTTGTTTGCCTTTATTGGTCAGTGCATTAAGTATAGGAGTTAGAAGCTCATGTTCTGGCTGTACAGGACATTGGTTAGACCACTTTTGGAATACTCCATGCAATTCTGGTCTCCCTGCTACAGGAATAATGTTGTGAAACTTGAAAAGCTTACAAGATTTACAAAGATGTTGCCAGGATTAGAGAGGTTAAGCTATAGGGAGATACTGAATTGGCTGGGGGTTTTCCCTACATTGGATGCCAAGGGGTGAACTTATAGAGGTTTATAAAATCATGAGGGGCATGGATAGGGTGAACAGCCAAGGTCTTTTCCCAAGGGTGGGAGAGTCTAAAAATAGAGGGCATAGGTTTAATGTGAGGGGAAAGATTTAAAATGGACCTAAGAGGCAACCTTTTCACACAAAAGGAAGTGCTTTTGTGGAATGAACTGTCAGTAGAAGTAGTGGAGGGTGGTACAATTACAACATTTAAAAGACATCTGGATGGGTATATGAATAGGAAGGATTTAGAGGCATTTGGTCCAAATGCTGGCAAATGGGACTAGATTTATTTAGGATATGTGGTCAGCATGGGTAAATTGGACTAAGGGTCTGTTTCCATGCTCTACCGTTCTATGACTCTATGAATCTAAAGGAAAACAGAATTGAAAATAAAAATGTTTAAATTTGAATGAAGACAGAAAGAAACAAAGATGAATGGACAGAGTAGAGAAAAAAAGCAGAGGAATGTAAAGGGACATGGAATTGAAAAAGTTTAAACTTCTTGGAAACGATTTGGAGAGACATAAAGCAGAAAGAGGAGGATGATTGTGACTCCAACAAGCGATCTGATTTGACTTTAATTAGTCTCTAAATTTACAGAGATGGTACTTAAAGGTATTCCATCTAATTTGTAAAGAGGTGAAATAGCTAAAAGACATTTAGTTCTTAATATTATAGTGTTGACATACGCAATTATGAATCTGTACAACAGTTGGGCAAAAGAACAACGCACACTGTATGAAACTGTTAAAAGACCAATACTCAATGCTTATGATCTTGTCACTGAAGCTTAGTAATTAAAATTTAGGACGACAAGAAAGAACTCTAACTTGTGAAACAAAATAAGGCCATAAAACAGTAAGAGGTAGGAGCCATTCCACAATTCAATCATGGCTGATATGTTTCTCAAAATGTAAGAGATAAAGAAAAGGTATGAGATCTGTTATAGAGTCATAGAGGTGTACATCACAGAAACAGACCCTTCAGTCCAACTAGTCCATGCCGACCCAAATTAATCTAGTCCCATTTGCCAACATTTGGCCCTTATCCCTCTAAATCCTCCCTATTCATATGCCCACCCAGATGCCTTTTAGCTGTTGTAATTGTACCAGCCTCCACCACATCCTCTGGCAGCTCATTCCATACATGCAAGCACCCTCTGTGTGAAAGAAGTTGCCCCTCCGGTCACTTTGAAATATTTCCCCCCTCACCTTAAACCTATCCCTCTAGTGGGTTCTCCTCACTGGGGAAAAGCCCTTGACTATTTGCCCTATCCATGCACCTCATGATTTTAAACAACTCTATAAGGTCACCCCTCAATTCCTGATGTTCCAGGGAAAATAGCCCTAGTCTATTCAGCCTCTCCCTATAACTTAAACCTTCCAACCCCAGCAATATCCTTGTAAATCTTTTCTGAACCCTTTCACATTTCACAGCATCTTTCCTATAACAGGGAGACCAGTTGTTTTGATCACTGAAGTTAGAGAACAAAATTGAGATGGTAAGGGAAATCATGGTTATGGAAGAATTCCAAAATAATATTCCAATAAACCTGGATGAGGGCCAAATATCAAAAATTTGAAAGGTAGCAGTTCTTACAGATACCAATGATATCTCATATAATCATTGAAGAAGAAAGACTGGAACCTAAAAGTGATGTAAGAAATCACTTTTTTTTTCATTCTATTCAGACTAGGCATTCTAAAGCTAATTGTTGGAAGCTAATTGGGAGACCAATTGCAGTGTTAGGAATACTCAAGGAAATGTGAGAAAAGGGGAAAAAAACTGCAGAAAGCTGCAGCACAGATGAATTTTGGGGTTGTCAAGCATAAATCACAAAAAGGTAGAATACAAGTTCGGCAGGCAATGCCTAAGTCAAATAGAATTTGGAACAAAAACAGAAATTGCTGGAAAATCTCAGCAGATCTGGTAGCTTCTGTAGAGAGAAATCAGTGTGAATGTTTTGGGTCCAAAGACCTTTACTCATCACTGATGGTAGCTAGGAAGGTAAAAACAGAAATTTCTGGAAAAGCTGAGCCGGTCTGGCAGCATCTGTGGAGAGAAATCAGAGTTAACATTTCAGGTTGAGTCTCTGATTTGCAGCTTCCGCAGTTCTTTTGGTTTTTGTGTAGTTAGGAAAATGTCAGGCCTATGGCCAAATAGAATTAGGCCCTTTTTTTCCAAAGCAGTGTAGTGTAAAAATAGGGAAGTCTTGCCAAAACTATATAAGTCTCTAGCCACACACCTGGAACATGGCGAATAGTTTTGGGCCACTAATCTAGGGAGAGTTATAAGGGCATTGGGGGCAGCCCAGACAAGTCTCACTGAACTGATCACGGGTAAGAAGGGAGTTTCTTTTCAGGAGATGTTGAGTAGGATGGACCTGCACTCATTGTAGTTTAGAAGAAAGAGAAGTGAGCGTATTGAAACATACAAGATTCTTAGAGGACTTGACAGGCCAGATGTTGAGATATTGATTCCCTTTGAGGGAGAGTCTAAGAGTACAGGACCAGAATCTCAGAATATACAGTCATTCAGTTAGGACAGAGATGAGGAGGAATTTCTTCTCTCAGAGGGTAGTGAATCTGCTAAGGCTGTATTATTTAGTAAATTCAAGGTTGAGATGGACAGATTTTGATCAATCAGGGAATCACAGGGAAAAGGCAGGAATATGGAGTGATGATTGTCAGATCAGCCAAGATTTCATTGAATAGTAGAA